AGGAGAGGGTATTCATTGCCAGTGCTTTAGGGTATTTCTAGTGCTAGTGAATACTTGATTCTCTGAAACGTTGTTCTTAAATGAGAAGAGGAAAATATAACTTGTTGATTTTGGGGTTGGGGTCAGGCATAGCTCAAGTCCTGGAAAAAGAAGAGGCCCTGGCTAATGCTGCAAGCTACCATATTAACACCTTCTCAGTTGTACAGGCCTCCCTACGTATTTTTGTCTGCCTTGTAAATTAGGAGTTCCTTGCGGTAAGAAAGCTGTGTCCATCCATCTGTTTATACAAAAGCATTCTTGTTAGTATTTTAACACTCAGCCTCTCAAATGCTGCCTGATCCCTATGTCTCCCCCTTTGGAGTGGAGCTGAGGGGGCTTGGATGGGAACACTGTGCTGTTCTCAAGGTGGTGCAGCAGCTGCACTTTGTACGCTGCCTCCCAGAGCTCCTGCTAAGTAGTATTTACTCTAAAGCCAGTGCAGACTTATTTTTTAGGGCACAGCTGTCACTATCGTACTATATATTCACCCAGTATACAGATCTGCTCACAACAGAGCGTAGTAAGAATTCTCTGTAGTGCATTGAAAGCAACATGTGATACTTCCAGCCTGCCCACTTGCTTTAAGCTGGGGATATTGGAAGTCAGATGTCTGCCTTGTAGGAAATTTGTGAGGGCTGAAAATTCACATCTCTGAAGCAGCAAGTGTTCCTCTGCTTTTCTGAGAGAGGTGAAAGATGCTTGGCTTTTCAAGATGAAGTCTGTGCTTGGGCATGAGGCACTGAAGAAATACTATTAAAATTAGATCTGTCAGTGGTACCCTGGCTTGGATTTTGTAAATCAATTGACAGAAATAGCTATACTTTGAATCTCTGGTGAGCATCTCACTGTAGCCTTAAATAAAGGCTTTTGCAACACCTAGCATCTGAAAGCTATGTTGTAATCCAGAGCAAGTGAGTTAAGACTATTACAAACGTTTTCTGAAACAGTTCTGTCTAGATCTTGCCCAGAGATGTTTTAAGAAAAAAAACATTGGTGGTCAAATTGAAAAATGCATATTTGGCCTACACAGAACTATATTTCTCTACTTTTGTTACTTCTGTTAATAGAAGAGAGGCTGAGATGAGAGCAAACTGGAACTTACTGTGTAGACAGATCTGGATCTGCAGTCTAATTCCAAGGGTTAATGAACATTCAAACTTCATTTAGAAATATTTTTTAAAAACCTTTTTAAATAGAAAATAATCCCTAAAGATTTCACAAAGACACAGTGAGGTCTTCTTTGTTTGTGATTATATTTAGTAAAATTTTAGTAGATCAGAGATGACTTTTCAAAGGAAAATACCAACAGATAAACCCTTTGCATTCCATTCCTTTCTGCTGGATCTTTAAAAATGGGAACAAGATAGTCTTGAATGTGCCTTGACACTTCAGATCTGGCTGCCCTATATCTCCATCTGTACACTGGTATTTTGTCCCCAACAATTACTGAGTGTTCTCAATGTCTGCTGCAAATGCATGCTGTGGGTTCACATGAAAGTCTCACAGAGAAGCTTGTTAGCTTCTAACTAAAATAGGTATAATTTTGTACTTTGATTTGAATATTTTATACAGATTATACATCCAGACTTTAATAATGCCTTCTATATAAAGCTCTACAGAACCAAATAATCTGCACAGCGTGCTCTTAGCCCACGGGAAGACTGGGGGAAGAAGTAATTCTTTCCTGATACTTATGATTCTGAATTACAGATACAGTAAACTAGATCCATCTTCTATACTTTCGAGTCTTACTGTCTATGAAGCTAGGATAAGCTGAATTTTAGATGTAAAGTGACATCAGTGGAGTGCTGGCCCCCGAAGTGAGAACTGGAAAGGTAGGGCTGCATGAAGGAATCCAGCCCAGAATTTGTTACCATTATACTTAGCTGAAAAGATGACTACAAATCCCTTTCATTTCCTTTTCAAATAAAGGAACACCGGCTGATAAGCCATGATTGAGACCATTTCCTTATCTTTCACAGTATGGTTCTCCTGTAGCTCTTTGCCTCAGAAAGGGTGTTGCAATGGCTGTAGTTAGAAATTCATACAAATCACAAATCCAAAGTTATCCAGGACTTTGTTTGATAGATTCTTCTGATAAATATATTTTTCGTTTAGGTAGTGTTTTCTAAAAGTGTTAGGCAGAAAATATCCTACTAGAGTAAGTGAAATCACGTCACTAGTTATAACCATCCCCTCCCTCTAAATTTGACTCTATTCTAGGACAGTTGTAGTTACCTGCTCTATCTTATTTTAAGGTACAACACTTAAATTTGGGGCTGCAAAAAGCAGAAATCTGAGAAACTGAGAGGGAAGTCAGTATGTTACAACTATCTTAAACTATAGCCCCAGATCTAGACTTCTTTATCCTTTCTGTGGAAGCTCTGCTTCTCGAGGCTTCTTTTGTTTGAAGCATCACTGGGGAGTGGAAGGAGAGATGTATGTGTTAAGTAAGAATTCCCAAATTAGGGCAGACATTTGACTTCAGTAACTGGGTTGATGTTTAAAAACTAGTCTTTGTTCTTGATGAGCAAAAGGGGGAGTTCCCAGCATTTGGAACCAGCTGTTTGCAGACTGGAAGTATCAGCATCACACAGTTAACGTTCTGTGGCAAGAACCTGCATTTTTCATGAGGAGGTAAAAAGTGGTGTCTTAGGAAAGTGATGTGTGTGATTATTTATTAAAAAAAATCTTTATCAAGAAGATACTCAAGCCTTGGTGTCTACCTGACTGGCAAACAGTTTATGTTAATAGAGAGAAAGAATAAACTGAGAAGGACTGAAGTGTCCTACTTGATGAGTTGAAGTCTTAACTGACTGATTTATCTGAATTTGGCTTCTGTTCACATTTTGCCTTTTCCTGGCCTCTTATTTTATTGCAGATTCTGTTGCTTGACGTATTTGGGGGACTGAGCAGGGAAGGGTCTTTCAGTAACTATACAAGTACATGTGGGTATGCAAATAATCCATATTCTTCATAGACTTCTAGATTCTGTGTACTTCGCACAATGCAAGTCAATGAAATGCATAGAAGCTAATGTTTCTATAATAGGTTAGGAAAACTATGCTTGTAATATGAATCTCTTGTTTCTACTAATCTCTTTCTATGAGGGTGCATTAGACTGCAGAATAAAACTCCATCATTGAAACTACCACAAAGTATTTCCCCCACCCCTCAATTCCTTAACACCAGAAAAATGCACCAGGGAATGGCACTGCCATTATCAGTCAACTCTACTTTGCATGAGAACATTATATCTGTGGCTGTCCTTCACTCAGAAAACAAAGAACTCTTATTGCTTTTATCTCTAATGGAAAAAATCTAGAAAGCTGTCTCTTCCAGTCAGATCAGTTCTGGGATGTTATTTACAGTGCCTAATTCCAAAGTAATCTCTATTTTTAAGTAGAGTGTCCGAGTATTGAGGGTGCTGTGTTCTAGCACCCTGATACTAGAGCTTGTGTTCTAGTAAATTGACAGCTCCCATTGTCGGACTACACTGTCAGTTCGACTGCCAGCCTCAATACTGAGCATCTTTAACAGGGTGTTAAGAAAGGGTTTTTTTTCCTTTTTTCTTCTTTGTCTTTGCCAGTGGAAGAGCGCAAACAAGCAGTCTAGGGAATTGTTTTGGAAGGACTTTTTTGTTTTGATTATGTACATATTTTTAAGTGTTTTGAGGTCACATTAGGGAAGGCGGGTTAAGGAATTTCACTTCACACCGGATGAGGAAAAGTGTTTGGATTTGTCTTGGGTTTTGGTTTCCTTAGGAATTTAGCTTCACAGTTTCAGCCTGGCTGAATTCACAGGGGAATTTTGGCTCATAATCAGACACATCTTTCTTTTATGTTCACTGTGCTGAAGGAACAGAGTTTTTGACTGCAGCCGTTGTTGTAGTATTTTAGATTATCCTTGGGCTTTTTTAGAAGTGAAGCATGTAAGGAAGTAAGTACCTAAAATTAAGAGCAAAGGCCTATAGCTTATGTCTGTGCCCTTTAAGTACTGAGTGCTGAAAGCAGAGGACAACTCTTCTGTGCTTGCTAAAATTTGTCTGGCTGATGGTAAGTGAAGGCTCTTCTGTTTTAGCTGGAGTTCCCTAATGGAGTCAAGTTTCATAAGTAGCTGTACTGTATCAATATCATCCAGATGCAAGCTGAGAGGGCTGTGTGAAATTGAGGTCAGGATACCGTCCATTTGGCGAAGATGCAGTTCACAAGGCACCTGGAGCTAACAAAATGTGATGCCATAGTGAACAACCAGAATTTCTGAACTCTTGTCTCAGTAGTTGGGTTTGTAGTTGAAGCATTGTGGCTTCTTGTATCTAAAAGTGCTGGTCTGTCTTTGGAGTGTCAGGTCCAACAGGTTGATGAGGTCATCTTGGGTATGTAGTAATCTGTCTTGGTAATGGAGCTGTAGTTGTATGCGGGTAAGGTTAAGCAGAATGATTTCCTATAAAGCTCACTACAAAAGAAGCAAAGCATGTCCAAGGCCCCTCACACACATTCATTTTCCGTCCGTTCAATGTAATGAATTAATTTGGGGAAAAATGGCTTTTAGGAGGAAAAACACAATAAAATCATGCAGTAGATAGTGGTTCATTAGTTCTCCGCTTCTGAGTAATGTCTCTGTATACTACTCCAATATAAATAGTGATAATTATTCCCTTGAGGAGGAGATAATATGTGGTAAGGGAACCACTACATTGGACTTAACCTCTCAAAATGGAAGTAATGACAAGTAGATGTTGTCCTGGACCTTTGCAGAAATATGAGTTAACTTTGCGTTTGTTTAATTTCCACAAATTTTGTTGTTCCACCCATACAATAATAGATACAGCTAGTGTTGCATCTATTACTGTATTTATTGCTATATCTATTCCTCATTATAATTCTGGGTGAGTTCTCTAGAAGTGGTTTGTGTACAGAATGACTTATCCTGATAGGACTTTTTTTTCTTTTCCCTCACAGATCACCCCTGGCAGCAAGGCAGCACAGTCACAGATGAACCAAGGGGACCTTGTGGTAGCCATTGATGGAGTCAACGCTGACAGCATGACCCACTTAGAGGCCCAGAACAAGATCAAGTCAGCCAGCCACAACTTGAGCCTCACTCTTCAGAAGTATGTTGATATAAGTTGAAGTCTTTGCATTCCTAAGGGCATCCTATGAAACTTGTGACTAAGGGATATAAGTGGTTTATCTCCATCTGTTGGATTTATTTGAAGTGTTTATGGCACAGATATGAGATGGAAGGCCAAAATCTGATCTGATTCTTGTAGAAATCAGCATGGATTCTTATAGAAATCAGTATGGTTGATATGTTGAGTGTATCTGTGTTGAATTTAGCCTATTGAATACAGGTGTAATCCCATATCCATTCAAGCTTCTGTTAAAAAATAAATCCAACAGTGGTGATGTTTTGCTTATTCCCGTGTGGACAACACAGTTTTGGTTAATTTATGAATGACTAATCTAGAAATGACCATCGTAACAAGTGTTATGAGTGCATGGGAGGAACCTGTCATTCACAGGATGAATAATCACAGCAGGCTGAGAATTTGTGTTAGTGGTCTGGTACCTGTGAGTTTGAAAGTGGCCGCTCTGCATCTGACACAATAAGAAAGATGTAGCCTGAGTGCAGGAAAGGAAGTCAGTAGAACATGGAGAGGGCAGAATTTCTCATAGAGATGTGATAAGAGTTGTCTTGCTGTTGAGAAAGCAGAATCTCTTCACATAACAGGTCTCTTAACCAGGAAACATTAATGTTGCTTCCAAGGAAACTTGTTCTCAAGTCAGATAACCTTGCACAGAGATTTTTCCGTAATAGTTGCATTAATATTTAAAGCTCCATAATTACATAAAGCAAATAACGGCTTTTCTTATTGTGTTGTGGGGAAGATAATTTTTACATAGGCTAGGCAAAGACTGGTACAGAAAGCAGGTTGTGATGTGGAAGTACAATTTCTGAGAACATACCAGAAGATCTCATACATGGATGTGCAGTAGAGCTAAGCAGTACCAGGAACAGACTAACACCTAAGGGAAAAAGATCTTTAGCTGAGGTTTCCAAGACAAAGCAGGGTACTCTAAAGCGAAATGTATGGCTGAATTTCCCACATGGCTTTGTAAGTCTCAAGTTTGTCTTTAAGTGGGTGTTCCAGATAATGTATAAAATAAGTTCACAAAGTAGAAAGATGCTAACAAAATTGCAACATATTTGTTAGCTTCTGTGAGAACACTGGGTAGACTTATATTTCCTAGAAATGTACTATATATTATATCTATATTTTATATAGATATATATGCTATTATAACTATAATGTATTTCCTGGAAAAAAAGTTTAAATTAAAGCTCTTCAGATTTTCAGAAGTTCCAGATTTTCTCAAAGAAAAATCTTTGAGATTTTTCTCAAAGGGTGTGGTCTAGCTGTTTCAGTGAATGCAAGGGAGGTAGGGAGATGCATGGAATAATTTCTGCTACCTCGTATGATGTGCATGTGTGCCTCTAGTGTGTTTAGGCAAGATTTCAGCCAAAATTAAAGAGAGACCAGGAGTCTAATCCTAAATGTACTAAAATGGTCTTTATATCAGAAGCCAGAAGAAAATGGTCTTCCAAAGTTGTTGATGGAAGATGGGGCACTATCTTGATGCATGTAATTGAATTCTCATCCTGTGGCCCACTCGAGCTTCTTTTTGCTCCATTCTAATGAATGCTAGTGATATTATGAATATATGTATGATATCTTTTTAAAAAATTTACATTGTTCTGGATTATTTTGCATTTGAAAGTTAAGGAAAATCCTTTCTGATAATTTATTTTAGAACTTCTGTCTGCTTTCCTATTGGATCTTTGTGTTTTTACATTGAGAGAAAATGTTTCTTATTGTGCTTTGGCTTGTTGCACATTTGGAGTTAATTTTCCTGAATATTGGACCTGAAAAGTGGTCCAGTGGCTGCCTCTATGGCCTGGCACTTAAAACTACAAACCACCACCTCTCCTTCCACACAGAGGAAGGGTTCCCAAATCTGTGACTAACAAAAACAGATTATCCTAATACATATCACAGAAGCAAGTCACTTAAATCAGTAATTTTGATCAAGTGTTGGCAGGGTTATTTGATGTAAGTAATTGTTTTGCTTTTGTACTTGCTGACTTCTAAATTACAACACCAGCAACTCTAGTGGCCACATCATTAAAAAGAAGTGTTTTACAGCATCCAGGACAGCTTATTTATTGTTTAATGATTGAAGTAATTGTTAGTTTTTCTTAAAGTATTTTCAGACTGTTAAAGCTTTATTTATTTTGGTACACATTATTCTTTATCCACATAATTCTAGTGGAAGTATCATTGTTTATTGCTTTCTTGCTCTACATATTGTTTCTTTTATTTTTTTTAAGGCTTGCCTTGTCTCTTAGTTCCAGAACAATAGTATGTGATTCAGATAATCAACTTATATGGATAATGAACAGCCAAAGTAAGCAGTAATGGAGTGTTCCACAGACTGAAATATGCTTGCATAGATAATAGATGTAGATGAGTTAAGATCCATTTTGAAAAGAAGAAAAACGGCATAAAGTGATATGAAATACTGTTAAGCACAGATAGGTCAGACAGCTTCTTTGTTAGCAGGTGAGAACTTTCACAGATGATGCTTTTGCTCTGAACTTACACAATTCATAGAATCTCCTCTTCAGTGTGACAGTTGCTTTTTGATGTGAGCTACTAGTTCGCATTGGTGACCCATTCAGCCTCACTAGAGTTATATGGGAAAAACAAATGACAAAAACTGAAAAGTAATTTTTTTTTAGGAGTGTTCTTTCTTAGATGATTAGGGACTATTCAAAAAGTTGTGGTCAGAGGCACTAAGCTGGCTTTCACTTTGCACGATTCAGTATTTATACAAGACAAACCATATCAGCATGTGATCTCAGCCAACTGACGTATGCATAGAACCCTGTTAAAGATCCAGTATCCCAATGGCTTGAACAAAAGGCATCTCCACAATATTTGGGAAGTTAGATTAATGTCACCTTGAAAAATAATTTTTCCTGGGCAGAAATGGGTTAATTTACCTAAGTACAAAAAGATTGTGGCAGCTTTGTCACCTGCCCAAAATTTACAATGAAATATACTTTTTTCCAACAAGAATAATTTTACAAAGATTGTATCGTTGAGAAGAATAGTTAACATGAAAAATATGGGAGCAGTCACTAGTGATAGTAATTTTCAACCAAATAAGAACAAAACAGGAGAAAGGCAAAATCTTCTGGGACTTGGTTACCAGGAAAATGACTATGCTAAGAGGTAATTTTTACTTTTTTTAGACATAGCTTGCAGCAATGAAACTGGAGTAGAGTGTTCTATTACTATGGAAAAACAAAGCTAGTGTCCATAAAGATCATAAAGATGGGTATACTCAGTTATCTAATTTGCATAAGAGTTTGGAAACATTGGAAATCCTTTCAAATGGAAAAGGCATATATGTGCATTAGGAAATTCATAGAATCACAGAATCATTAAGGTTGGGAAAGACCTCTAAGATCATCGAGTCCAACCGTCAACCCAACACCACCATGCCCACTAAACCATGTCCCTAAGCGCCTCATCTACCCGTCTTTTAAATACTTCCAGGGATGGTGACTCAACCACTTCCCTGGGCAGCCTGTTCCAATGTTTAACCACTCTTTCAGGAAAGAAATTGACTGTTGTGATGGGAAAACTTAAACCCTAAATTTTTTATGATCTCGGACATTTATGTGGAGTAGTCATGTGGCTCTACAGAACATGTTCCAAGGTCATGGAATGCCTTACCAGGCAATCTGTGGCTTGGTTTCGCTGTTGTAGCGCTGGAAGTAGAAGTGAACTTGCTTGTTCAGTCTATAAGGCCACGGAAGAAGCAGTGGAACATGAAATCTAGACATAAATGCTCTGAGACAGAAAGCTTTTTATTTTTCTTGGCTCTCAAGAGCAATGGCCTTTCCTTTTATTGATCCTGGCCATGAAGGTTTCATGAGCATTGTTTATAACCTGACGGTTCAGACGGTGTTTGCTGCTACTCACTTTTATCATCACCCTTAAGTTCCCTGTGGGGTTTCTTTTTCAGGGTGGGGAACTGGTTATTTTTTATTTGGCTGTCAAGAAAAGCTGTACATGGTGTCAGCACCTGTGCAGGACATCAAATTGCAAGACATCAAATGTAGCAGAAAGGAAGCATTAAGAATACCCATTCGTACTTGCTTGCCTAAACAATGAGAGTCTGCACTTCTCTGGCTATAAAAACTTAGTATTTCTTCAAGTACCATCAATCTGCACTGTTCGAGGTACACTAACATAGCTCTTCAGTGAGTGCTTAGTGCGCAGTGCTGGCCTGAGTGGAATTTTCTGTTTCAGTCATGTAGATATCCCATTATGTGTTCAGGAATTTGTGGATGTCAATTTTTTTTCTGACAGCTTCCTTCCCTAAACTCCCTGTTAAATTTGTTCTTATCGCCTCACCCATGCTATGTTTTCACATGAAACCACAAAATTAGGATGGAGGTCTCGCCAGCTATGCCAGAGGTTTGATCAGGCTGCCAGAACTTGTCTTGTTACTGGCTTGAGTGAAACGGTGCATTTTCTGACTGCTCATTTTCAATGTCTGGCTGCCTAGTTCTCCAGAGCCTGCAGCATGCCTCCCTGTGCTGCTTTTGGGAAGTTAAAGGTTGCAGACAGGCAAGTGGCAGGGAGTTAAAGTATTTGGACCATTCCTGGAGAAAGAGACCTGTGATCCAGTGGTGTAGAAAGGTATGGGAGCCTCTGGACCAGCTCTGCTTCCTTCAGTTTAGAAGGCAAAATACATCTACAAAGTGAATTCTCTTTTGCTGAAGAAAAGAGAGCAGCAGTGAGGGGAGAAGGAAAGAAATTTCTTTGGCACTGTGCACTATTACCCAGTAGAAGTCCATGAGGCATGATAGTATTGAGGCAAACAAGGCTGATGTTCTAAAACATTAGATACATAGATGCAGCTCGTTCCTTGGAAACCTACATTGCTCTAGATGTACTGAGAGGGGATCGGTGCTAGTTCTGCTAGACAATGCTATGGAAGGCTATGATCATACTCTATAACGACCTGGGTTGTG